TCGTTAGCTCTCCAGAGCCTCCAGACTAAGTCCAGACTCTTAGTTTGATATAGAAGACCCTTAGAAATCTTCCCTCTTCTTATCTCTTTCATTCTGGTCCAATTTCACCACCAGCTCCTCTACCAGCTGTGCAGTCCTCACATGAAACAAGATCATATTTCTCATCATCCAAGCACTTCTGGTAATAGACTTACAGAGAATTCTCTATCTCTGTAATTAGTTACTCAAAATTTTACTTTTGAAGCACAAAGACTTTATCAACTACATTTAGGTAGCCATGGATATTTATATTCCTATAAGTTTCTTCATAGGCAATGACAAAATATAAGGAGATGCCTTTTCCTGCAACTCTGCAAATATACCTGCCGGGAAAGCCTGGGAGTTCCATTTTCTCTTTCCACAATGAAGTAGATAGTAGGTTTTTAGATTACTTTATCTTTGGGTAGGAAAATGCACTTCCAAAATAAAAGCTATATAAAAACGTTTTTCTTACTCCCTAGAAGTCATTTATTTCACTGTGTGGAATTGTCAAACGTCGAACCAAGACTATAAGCCTTGATGTAGTATATTTAAATGTAGTCAAAATATTTCCTCCTTTCAGGGCCATCCTTCCTGCCCTTTTGATGGCAGGCTTAGCCGTATATCTTACTATGACCAATGAAATGGAGTGGAAATGATGATGCCAACTCTAAGCAGAAGTTTTAAGAGCAATCATGTGGTTCTGCAATTCCAGCAATGTCTAGATACAGGCTTCTTTTTCAGCCTGGACTCCAAGATTAGAGAATATGGTCCAGATTTTAGTCAATCTTCAGCTAACATGTAATAAGAGTAAGAAAGAAACCTTTGTTGTAGGGAGCCACCAAGATTTTGGGATTGTTTGTAACTCCAGCATGTCTGGCAAAAGTGGTCTGATACAATTGGAGCTTTGATGTTTTCCTGCCCCATGCTCCACCATGTGGATTATTTGCACATTCTTATCCAAATTCATTTAAGCATCTTTGGTGGGCTTCCATATGCATCACAGTGGACTCTTAGCACATACCTTCAAAATTCAAAGCGTTGAATTTTGACTCTCAAAAGTCTCAGGTTTAGAAGGCACTCTAGAGGCGTTTAGCCTGATTCTCTACACAGCGCTTGAGTGTTCTATGTGATATCCCTGACAAACTTCTGCTTAAACAACTCTAGTGAGAAACTCACTCCTTCCCAAGGCAGCCCACATCATTTAAGACAGCTCTACATGTTAGAAAGTTCTTACTTTCATTTAGTGGAATTTAGTTTTTCCCTAACTTCGTGTAGCCAGTGGTTCTAATTCTACTCTCTGTGGCCATATGCTTCTCTCTTCTCTCTCTTTGTCTGCTCTCCTCTAGGCTAATCATTTCTGGATCATTCCAATGTTTATCAGAGATCATAATTTAAATTTATCATCACTATAGTGGTTGCTTTTATCTGAAAGCACGAAAGTTTGTATTGTTCCTCTTAGTGTGTGTACTCAGAACTCACTACAATAATGAAAGTATATTTTGATATTTTTTGCACGGTAGAGAGATCATATTATCTCCCCTTTTTTGGACTCTGCATTTCTACTAATTCAAATGAAACCATATTAATTTTTTGACAGCTACATCACATTATAGAAAGGGAGCATTTAAAGTAAAATTTAAGTTTAAAAAAAGGAAATAGAAAGCAACACCGAAAACCTGAGTTTTAAATATGAATAAGATTGTAATACTGGATTTAAAAGAGAATTTTTGCATTTATCACGAAACCATTTCAATGGCTTCAGCTAACTCTGAGGACTTCTTGCCTTTGATTTGTCTGCCTAAATAATCTTCAGCAACATGTTCTCCTTAGAGAGATAGACTTCTTGCTCAGTTCTAACTAAACCATCATCTAACTTTTATAGCATTCTCCCATTTTCCTACACAATCACTTTCCCCCTTGTTTGTTTTCCTATAGCATTTTTAGATGTTCTATTAAACCACTTACCACACTGCCTCATAGTTATTTATTGGTGTGTCTGCAAGCATCCCCGTTAGGGATAGTGTCAAATTTAAATTTTTATTCTCTGAACTTTGTAGCTATGTGCTTACAGTTGTGTGCACATGTGCTTACTACATCCCAAATACTGTGCTAATCACTGCCCATACATTATCTAGTTTGATGCTTATCACAACCCCACAAACTAGGTACTATTTATTATCACCATTTTATATATGAGCAAATGGGGGCTTAGGAGGGTTAAATAACTTGTCCAAAGTGGCACAGCTAATAAGGGGAAGGGTTGGGATTCACATACAGGTCTGTCTTCCTCCAGAGCTTATATATAGCAAACCTAGTCAAGATTTATAGTTTGGGTCAAAATATTAATTTCTTAAAACTCTGAAGTCTTGAATATAACAAAAGTGCTGTTTCAAATAAAACACTACAAAACAAATGGGCAAGGATAAGATTCTTTAGTGATCATTGCTCCAGAACAAGTCAAGGCTCTGCCACCAAATCCTGCTCCTTTCTTAGCAGGCCCTGGTGGTTCTTGCCCTTCGGTTTCACTGTGCTCTGCTGCTGCTGCTGCTGTAAATCTCTGCCCCACCTCTTGGGGGCCTGGACCAGCTGTGCCTCTAACAAAATCATTGCTCCTCTTCCCAACCTCGTTGGTTCTGCCTGTTAAAACTGAAGTATGTTTCCCTTTTAAAAATATTTATTTTACTGGCGCAACTGGATATCTACATGTAAAAGAAAAAAATGAATCAGACACAGACTTTACACCTTCACAAAAGGTAACTGAAAATGGATAACAAGCTTAAATGTAAAATGCAAAACTGTAAAGCTCCTAGAAGATAACATAAAAGAAAACCTATAGGACCTTGGATATGGTGATGACTTTTTAGATACAACACCAATGGCACAATCCATGAAAGAAATAATTGGGAAGCTGAACTTAATTAAAATTAAAAACTTCTGCTCTGTGAAAAACACTGTCAAAAAAATGAGAAGAAAAGCCATGAATGGGAGAAAATATTTGCAAAAGACACATCTGATGAAGGATTGTTATCCAAAATATACAAACAACTCTTGAAATTCAACAATAAGAAAACAAGCAACCTGATTAAAAAATGCACCAAAGACCTTAACTGAAACCCCACAAAAGAAGATATACAGATGGCAATAAGCATATGAAAAGATGCTCCACATCATGTGTGGTCAAGGAAGAGAAAATTAAAACAACAATGAGATACCACTACAAATCTGTTTAAATGGCCAGTATCTGGAACACTGACAACACCAAATACTGGTGAGGATGTGGAGCAACAGGAACCATCATTCGTTGCTGGTGGGAAGGCAAAATTGCACAGCCGCTTTAGAAAAGTTTGGTGGTTTCTTATAAAACTAAACGTACTCTTACCACACAACACAGCAGTTGTGCTCCTTGGTATTTACCCACAGGAGTTCAAAACTTATGTCCTTTCAAAAACTTACATGTGGATGTTTATAGCAGCTTTATTCATAATTGCGAAACTTGGAAGCAACCAAGATGTCCTTCAGTAGGTAAATTGATACATAAACTGTAGTGCATCTAGGCAGTGGAATATTATTCAGCAGTAAAGAGAAATGAACTATCAACCCAGGAAAAGATGTGGAGGAACTTTAAATGCATGTTACTAAGTGAAAGAAACCCATCTGAAAAGGCTACATAGTGTATTATTCAAATTATGACATCCTGGAAAAGGCAAAACTATGGAGACAGTAAAAAAAGATCCATGGTTGCCAAGGGTTGGGGTTAAGGGAGGGATGAATAGGAAGAGCACAAAAGATTTTCAGGGAAGGGAAACTACTCTGTGTGATACTATAGTGATGGCTTTGTGTCATTGTACATTTGTCCAAACCCATAGAATGTACAACTGCAAGAGTGACCCCTAATGTAAACTATGGACTTTGGATGATTATGATAATGTAGGTTCACTAATTTTAAAAAATGTACTCCTCTGGTAGGGGATGTTAATAATGGGGGAGGCTATGCATGTGTAGGAGCAAGGAGTATAGGGGAAATCTCTGAACATTCGTCATCTCAATTTCGCTGTGAACCTAAAACTGTTCTAAAAAAAATTAAATATTTTAACTTAAAAAATTCTCTCTTGTTTGAGACTCAATTCTCACATCTATAGTATTTACCAAAAAAGACTGTTGAGAGCCTATTTCTTCTTCCCCTTGTGGTATGTGTATAAGTGTGTGCAGACAGCACAGAAAGACAGTAGGGAGTGGTGGGGATGGGAGAGGAAGAAGTAAGGCCAGGTAAATGAAAATAAGTTGGGACTACTAGTGGCTTCTTTACTGCTCAGTTATCTGAGGCAGGTAAGAAGGATGGTTAAAGCCCCCACTTTCACTCCCCCAATAATTTATTGCAATAACTTTGAAAAAAATTGGTGTTTTTAAAATCTATACTAATGAATTAAACTTTTATTTTATGCCTTTCCACTGAAAAATGCCATGCTCTGATAGGAGTTGACAAAATATTAAATGGAATTAAAAGGAATAACTTAACAGCATTTATTGTTTGTTGGTTGACAGCTTTAACTGAAGAGTAAAGAAAAGATGGAGAGGAATATTTTGCACAATTTGAATGGTTAGTCTAGAAAAGAAATGGCCATAACCAAACAAATATAGGGACTCTCAGGGCAAAGGAAGTAATCCAGGGGAGACTGGAGCAACAGGCAGGGATGAGGACTGTTGTAGACTGAATGTCTGTGCCTCCCTCAAAATTCACGTATTGAAGCTCTAACCCCCAGGCCCCAGGGTGTCTGTGGGGCCTCTAAGGAAGTAATAAAGGTTAAATGAGATCGTAAGAGTGAGTCTCTGACCTGATAGGATTAGTGTCCTTATAAGAAGAGATACCAGAGAGATCTCTCTTGCTCACTCGCTCTCTCCCTCTCTCTCTCTCCTCCTCCCTCTCTCTCTCTCTCTCCCTCCTCCTCCCTCTCTCCCCCTCTCTCTGTGCATTCACCAAGGAGAGTCATGTGAAGACCTAGCAAGAAGTTGGCATCTATAAGCCAGGAAGAATGCCTTTACCAGAAACCAAATTGCCTGGAACCTTGATCTCAGACTTCTAGCCTCCAGAACTTCGAGAAAATAAATTTCTGTTGTTTAAGCCACCCAGTCTCTGGCATTTTGTTATGACAGCCCAAACACACTAATACACCTAGGTAGCAGGCAAGTGGTAGCAGCAAGGGCCAAAAGCGTGCATTATAAGGCCAGCAACCAATATCAGAAAACTACAGCACCACTGAAAATCTCCAGTGCCGGGAGAGACCCCTGGGAGAAAGCAGAAACCTGGAATTTTGGAATAAGACTTCTGAGTAGAGAACATGGAAATTTGTGTGAAGGTATGTTAATAATAACAATGGAAAATATTTATAGAATGTTTACTACATGCCTGAGTTTTATATGTATAGCAGTGTGAAATTTATAGTCATACTACAAATGAACAGCAGTATAACCACCTTTATTTCTTTGTAACTGAGTTTAACTCGCTCATGACCCCCTCCCCCATTTATGCTCAGTAGATGAAAACACTTAATCTTGTCACTTCAATAGTTTAACACATTGGTTCCCTGACCTGTGAAATGAAGGCTATCATGGTGGGAAAGGCCAAGTAGAAGCTACCAGAACTGCCTCTACCTAGGAAAATAGTAAACCAAAAGCAATCCCAGATTCTTGGAGTCATTGCAGAGGTTAGTGCCGCCGTCAAGAACCTGAAGGATGCCAGGGTGGTGATTCCCACCACATCCTCATTCAACTGGCCTATTTGGCCTATGAGGAAACAAATGGATGTTGGAGGATGACAGTGGATTATTAAGCTTAACCAGTTGATGTTGCCAGTTGCAGCTGATGTACCAGATGTGTTTTCATAACTTGAGCAAATTAACACATCCCCTTGTACCTGATACGCAGCTATTGATCTGGCAAATGCCTTTTTTTCTGACTCTGTCAATAAGGCCCACCAGAAACAGTGTGCTTTCAGCTGTTAAGGCCAGCAGTCACCATCCCTGTTCTACCTCAGGGATATATCAGCTCTCCAGCCCTAAGTCATAATTTAGTTCACGGGGGTCTTGATCACCTTTCCCTTCCACGTGATATCATACTGGTCCATTACGTTAATGACATGCTGGTCAGACCTAGTGAGTAAGAAGTAACAACTACTCTAAAATAGTTGGTAAGACATTTGCATGCCAGAAGATGGGAAATAAATCAAATATTAATTCAGGGACCTCCTACCTGAGTGAAATTTCTGGGGGACCAGTGGTGTCAGGCATGTCAAGATATCCCTTCTAAGGTGAAGATAAGTTGTTGCATCTGGTTCGTTCTATAACCAAAAAGGTGTCACAATTCCTAGTGGGTCTCTTTGGATTTTGGAAGCAACATATTCCTTATTTGTCTGTGTTACTCTGGCCCATTTACCACGTGACCTGAAAAACTACTAGACTGACGTGGGATCCAGAACAGGAGAAGGCTCTGCAGCAGCTCCAGGCTGCTGTGCAAGCTGCTGTGCCACCAGGGCGATGTGATCCAGCAGACCCAATGGTGCTTGAAGTGCCAGTGGAAGATAGGGATGCTCTTTGGAGCCTATGACCAGTCCCTATAGGTGAATCACAGCACAGGCCCTTAAAATTTTGGAGCAAAGCCCTGCTGTTATCGATAGATAATTTCTTTCCTTTTGAGAAACAGCTGTCGGCCTGCCATTGGGCCTTAGTAGAGACTGAAAACTTAATCACGGGCCATCAAGGTACAATGCGACCTGAGTGGCCCATCATTAACTGGGTGTTATCTGACCCACCAAGCCATAAAGTTGAATGTGCACAGCAGCATTCCATCACCAAATGGAAGTGGTATATATGTGATTGGGCCTAAGCAGGCCGTGAAAGCACAAGTTACGTGAAGAACTAGCCAAATGCCCATGGTCCCCACTCCTGCTACACCGCCTTCTCTCTCCCGGTCTATACCTATGGCCTCATGAGGAGTTCTATAATTTTTTGACAGAGGGAGAGAAGACTTGGGCCTGGTTTACATATGTTTCTGCATGATACTCAGGTACCACCTGAGAGTAAGCAGCTGTACCACTATAACCTCATCTCTGGTATGTCCTTAAAGGACAGTGCTGAATGGAAATTCTTTGTGTGCTTGTGTTCCAAGTGAATGCTCACCTCAAGATGACCTCAACAAAGGAGGATTTTAGAGATCAAGTGGATAGGATGACTTATTCTGTGGCTGTCGGTCAGCCTCTTTCCCCAGCTTCCTCTGTATCACTCAATGGGCTCACGAACAAAGTGGCCATGATAGCAGGGGTGAAAGTCATGCATGGGCTCAGCAACATGGACTTTGACTCACTAAGGCTTACCAGGCTATGACCACTGCTGAGTGCTCAATCTGCCAGCAGCAGAGACCAACACTGAGCCCTCCGTATGGCACTATTCCCCAGGGTGACCAGTCAGCCAACTGGTGACACATTGATTACATTGGACTGCTTCCATCATTTTGTTCTTACTGGCACAGACACTTACTCTGGATACAGATTTGCCTACCCTGCACACAACACTTCTGCCAAAACTACCATCTATGGACTTACAGAATGAGTTATCCACCATCGTGGTATTCCACACAGCGTTGCTTCCGATCAAGGAGCTCACTTCATGGAAGAAGTGTGGCAATGGGCCAATGTTCATGGAATTCACTGGTTTTTACCATGATCCACACTATCCTGAAGCAGCTGGTTTGATAGAATGGTGAAATGGCCTTTTGAAAACTCAGTTATGGTGCCAGCTAGGTGGCAACACCTTGCAGAGCTGGGGCAAGGTTCTCCAGAAGGCTATGTATGCTTTGAGTCAGCATGCAATATATGGTGCTGTTTCTCCCACAGCTAGAATTTATGGATCCAGGAATCAAAGGATAGAAGTAGGAGTATCACCACTCACTATTACCCCTACTGACCCACAAGACAAAATTTTTGCTTCCTGTTCCCACGACCTTGTGCTTTGCTGTCCTAGAGGTCTTAAGTCCAAAGGGAGGAATGCTTTCACCAGGAGACACACAATGATTTCACTGAACTGAAAGTTAAGACTGCTGCCCAGCCACTTTGGACTCCTCATGCCTCTGAATCAATAGGCAAAGAAGGGAGTTACTGTGCTGGCTGGAGTGGTTGATCTTGACTACCAGGGGGAAATTGGACTGCTACTCCACAGTGGAGATAAGGAAGAGTATGTCTGGAATACAAGAGATCCCCTAGGATGTCTTTTAGTATTACCGTATCCTGTGATTAAGGTCAATGGAAAACCACAACCATACGATTCAGGTAGAACTACTAATGGCCCAGATGACTTCAAGAAGGAAATTTTGGGTCACTCCACAAGGGAAAGAACCAGGGCCAGCTGAGCTGCTTGCTGAAGACAAAGGGAATACAGAATGGGTAGTGGAAGAAGGTAGTTATAAATCCCAGCTATGACTATGTGACCAGTTAAAGAAATGAGGACTGTAATTGTTATGAATATTCCTCCTTCTTTTGTTCTGAATACGTTTGTGTGTGTGTGTATCCGTAAATATATTAAGCAAATTTCTCTGTTTCCCTTATCGTGTAACATAAACTATATTAACTTATCATACTATTTAAGTATTATTAATCTTATAGTATTTAAGTTGTAGGTTATCACAGAGAAGAGTAAACATCACTCAAGGACATAACCTTCTTTTCTGGGAAAGGACTTAGTGCATTTTCAGTTGTATGCGGGATAGTGGTATCATGTTAAGCAGAATTATGACCTTGTGTTGTCTTTATTTGGAGATTAAGTATGATTTAAGGAGATGTGTATGGGTGCCAAGTTGATAAGTGGTGAACTTGTGATGGTTAATTTTATGTATCAACTTGACTCGGCTAAGAGAGGCCCAGATAGCTGGTAAAACATTTCTGGGTAAGTATGTGAGGGTGTTCTTAGATGAGAATAACGTTTAAATTGGTAGACTGAGTAAAGCAGATTGCCTTCCTCAATGCAGGTGGGCCTCCTTCAATCTGTAGGAGGCCTGAATAGAACACAAAGCAAGCAGGGAAGGGAGAATTTGCTCTCTATACATGGCTGCTGAGCTGGGACATCAGTCTTCCCCTGCCTTTGGCCTGGGACTTATACCATCAGCTCTCCTGGTATTCAGGCCTTTGGACTCAGACTGGAACCAAACCACCAGCTTTCCTATTTCCAGCTTGCAGACAGCAGATTGTAGAACTTCTCAGCCTCTATAATTGCATAAGTCAATTTCTTATAATAGATCTCTTTAAACATATATATAAAATATATATTATATGTATGTACATATATATATATATATATACAGTGTGTGTGTGTGTGTGTGTGTGTGTGTGTGTGCGCGCACGCTCTGTTTCTCTGGAGAACTATGACAATTTGGGGCAATTTTCTTCAGGATGTAAATTGAGTCATTTTCAAGTTCAAACCTCCATCTGGCTTTTCATCACTTTCAATGATTTTCTCTTCACTTTTCTCCCTTCAGTGGTGTTTGGATGCAAAAGAAATAAAGCCCTTAATCTACCAAATTCTAGCCATTTGGCCTTAAATTTTCTGTACCTTATTGCCCCATCCTTAAAATAGAGAATAATAAGAGTACCAACCTCGTAGGTTGTTATTAGAATTAAATGAGATAAAGCTTGTGAATGCTTAGAACAGGTTCTAGCACATGGTAAATGCTCAGTAAATGTTATCCATTATCATTCAGGTGAAGAGGGGCTTCTGGTTCTCTTGATGCCCTCGGATCCTTATTTGCCTCCCTACTGATGATATAGCTTGTTGTTTGACTTCTGGGAGTGAGTAGGACTGATGATTACTGCAGGCATCACCTTGGCTCTCACAGGCTTTCTGATCCTTTGAGACTCAGCTGAGTCCTCCCTCTGGTCTCCTGTTTTGGGTGGTCCACCTGGAGCTTTTGCTACGGGGTTCCCTTGCCTCCTGCTGCAGTGACTCCATTGTAGATACACTGACTTTTTAATTGTCGATTATTTTCTGTGCTTCTTCTGAGGGGCTAATATCATATTCTGCCCTGCTCAACATTTATCTTTTATAATATCTATGCCCTAGTCCCGCAGGCTCTGGCTTTAATGATCCAAGCCAAATCTTCTTAGAAATCAAAACAAGATAATTTCCTCTGAAGGCCTAGCCCTTGCAAATCAAATGCTCTTTGGTATCAGACTGTGATACCTGCTGAGTGTTTGAAAAATTCCGCTTAACATTTCTACATACTTCTTTGTTGTAGAATTTTATCTGCTTTACCCCTGAGGCAATGAATATTAGGC